CTTTATATAATTATAAATAAGATATAAACTTTTATAAATAAGTTATATAAAAGTAATAAATAATTCTTTTTTTTAAAAGACTTATTTAACTAATTATATTATATACTAAATTAAAATTAACTTAGTTTTATTTTATAAGTAAATTAAGATATTTATTATATAATATTATATTAAATTAAGTTATTAATACTTTCTTAATAAGTATTAACTAACTTATTTTCTTTAATATTACTTTAAAATAGTAATAACTTAGGCCTAATTAATTAGACTAAATTAGGCTATTAGTATAACCTTTATAAAGATCTTTACTTTTTTTAATTAATTATAATACTTAGATTATAATAATATACTTAATTTAATAATTTAGAATAAATAAAATAGGCCTATATAAAAAACTAGGCTTAAATAGGCTAGTCTTTAGTTAGGCTAGTTAGAAGTTAACCTTAATTATATAGCCTAAGTTAAGTAGTTAAATTATAATTTTAAAGTATATCTTTATAGCTAAGGGGTTAATTAACTTAGTTATTCTATTTAAAGGCTAATTAGATATTTAATAGTATTAGTTTAAAGAAAAACTAGACTTTAACTCTAATTAGTCTTATAAAATAACTTTAAAAGAATAGACTAGTAATTCTATTATAATTAATTAGCTTATAAAATATTTTAACTTACTTATATAACCTATTAACCTTTTATAAAAATAGCTATTAATTTTAAATAACTATAATAATTACTATTAGCTTTATTTTATATAGCTAGCCTTTTAATTAAATATTATATTATTATATTTACTTATTTATATATTATATATTTTATAACTATTTAATATAAAGTTATTTATACCTTTTAAGTAAAAATATTACTTTACTTATTTAAGCTTAGTTTAAAGTATAAAACTAGTTAATTAAAAGGTATTATTTATTAATATATATATAATTATATATACTAATATATTTATTTTAAAAAATATATAAAATAAATAATAAAAAATAAAAATTTAATTAATTAATATATTAATACCTTTTTTTATATACTTATACTTAACCTATATATACTTTATAATAAGCTAATTATATTATTTAATAATTAAAAAAGTATTAATATTCTTATTAAAACCTTAAAATTATATAAAGACTTTTAATAAGTAATATATATATATAAATAAAAACTTATTTTAATTAATTTCTTTTAAAAGATTAAAAAATATATAATATAACTTTAAAAAAAATAATTAGTTTTAAAAAAAAAATATTTATATAATAGCTTTAAAGTATATTAACTAATTAAATAAAAGTAGGTTTATATTAACTTTAATTAGAAATTTACTAAAGTAGTAAATATTATTAAAGTTAAGCCTTTTTTAATAATAGCTTTTAATTTACTTTTAAAGCTTTTTAATATATAATTAGCTAAATTTAATAATAGGTTTAAAGTATAAAAGTTAAAGTATAATATAAATAAAGATAAAAATAACTAATTATATCTTAAGTAAGAGGTAAGGGATTTATAATCTATAGAGATAAAGTTCTAGATCTAGTTTAGCTTTATATATACTAATATATATTAATATATACTAACTTTTCTACTATACCCTTCTTAGCTGTGCGGTTGTTAGGGGGTTGCGTGCGGTTACCCCGTGTTCGACGTTATGGGACGCTGAAACGACGAGCTGTTTCCCACTGTGCCAGCGTCTCGCTGTCGTTCCTGCTCTAGTTAGTTCGCCCACCCAGTGATCGACCTTCTCCCCACACCAGCCTGCAGCCTCTCCAGATTGTACCACTTCAGCTCGTCAACCCTCTGTATCAAAGCGTCGGTTGGAGGAGTGCACTCATCGCCCGCAGTTTCAGATCCGGCCAAAGGAGATCTTGACCGCAGCCCCCTCCGCACCCTGCCTCATCACGACAGCTCCTGAGCTCGCCTCCCCGAAATGCATCGCGCCGCTCTGCAAGCTGTCCGCACAACCTGCCACTCCCGCGTCCGATCGGCTGCCTTCGGTCGACCCTCGCTGCGAAGTCTCCTCTCCTCCGCATATTCCATTCAACGGCCGTCGAACCTTCTCGTTACCTCCATCCGCGCCGCCTCGCTGCACTCGTCCTCGGCCGCTGCCGCTGCTGCCCGCCAAACGCACGCCGCCACCAGCCTGCCCCTGCGGTCCTCCATGTTCTTTCGGCGCATCCCCGCCGCGCTCGTCTCCAGTATCGTCGTCGGCTACGGCGCCTGGTACTCGTACAACGGAGGCGCCACCTGGAATCTCACGAGCGCTGCCGGTGCGCGCAGCCTCACCTCGACCGCCGGCCAGCCGCCGCTAGGCACTACCACCGGCACGGCATCTGTGGCCCTGCCGACCCGGACCGTGCTCGTAGTTGGCGCCGACGAGCTCCGACAGGGCACCATTGTGGGCGAGGAGCCTATTTCCAAGACGACGAGCGACGGCCGCCGCATCGTCGAGATGCTGAGCCCCGAGCAAGCTACGGAGAGGCTCCGCGAGACAGAGGAGTCCTTCTCGGTGAGCCGCGGCCAGGGCGTCACCCGCTACGACCTGGTTCAACTCTCCAGCAACGACCCGATCGAGGATGATCACGCGGAAAAGATTGTCGAGGTTACGGCCTCATCGGCGGATACGCAGAACAACGACTGGATGTTTTGGGGTGTTTTTGATGGCCACTCTGGTTGGACTACCTCGGCGACTCTGCGTGAGAGCCTCATCAGCTACGTGGCGCGTGAGCTGAATGACACGTACAAAACAACTAAGGGAGGGCTACCCGCTGCCGACGCCATTGATCTCGCTATTAAGACGGGCTTCACCCAGCTCGACAATGAGATTGTCCACAAGAGCGTCGAGAAGGTCTTCAAGGCCAGCTCCAAGGCCGTGGCTGCTGAGCTTCTGCAACCAGCCATGTCAGGCTCGTGCGCGCTCCTATCATTTTACGATACCCGGACTCAACTTCTCCGCGTAGCCGTCACAGGCGACTCGCGCGCTGTCCTCGGACGCCGCTCCGAAAGTGGCAAGTGGACAGCCACCGCCCTCTCCGAAGACCAAACCGGCGGAAACCCGCACGAGGCCGCGCGCCTGCGCAGAGAACACCCTGGCGAGGACAATGTCGTGCGCAACGGCCGCGTGCTCGGTGGTCTGGAGCCTTCACGCGCCTTTGGAGACGCCGTCTACAAATGGAGCCGTGAGACCACCATCAAGCTCAAGCAAGGTTTCTTTGCCCGCAGCCAGTCGCCGTTGCTCAAAACGCCCCCATACGTTACGGCGGAGCCTGTGGTGACGACGACCAAGATCAACCCCGAGAATGGCGACTTTTTAGTCCTGGCCACCGACGGCCTCTGGGAGATGCTGACCAACGATGAGGTCGTCGGTCTTGTCGGCCAGTGGATAGAGTCGCAGGCGAAGATGGGTGCGTCATCGTCTTCCAGCTCGCACTTTGAGGCGGCTTGGGCCAAGGTGTTTGGCGCCTCCAACAAGGCGCTCCCTGTCGAACAGAGCAAGGAGTCTGGCGATGGCGGCGACGGTCAGCGCGTGCCGATTCGCATGCAGCAGTGGGGGAACGACCCCGCGGCCAAAGGGCGCTTCCTGGTCAAGGACAAGAACGTGGCGACACATCTTGTCCGCAACGCCCTGGGCGGCTCCAACGACGAGCAGGTCCGCGCCCTCCTAACTCTTCCTGCACCGTTTTCTCGACGCTATAGGTATGTCTCCGCACTCGAATCTCCCGTGTTGTATGAATGCTAATGGCTGATTTTATTTAGGGACGACTTGACTGTGGAAGTCATATTCTTTGGCAACGGCCCTAAGACGGGCGAGGTTACTGTGAACCATGAAGCAACAGCCAACAACGGAGCTCCCAAGCCTAGACTGTAAATTTTGGCATGCGTAATTTTTTGTTTTGTTTTTATTTTCCACTATCCCGATCGGATGCTGTATAGATATACATGGCAAAGCGGACAGAGCCGGCGTTATGACGGAGTACGATTTTACTGCTCATAGCAGTTTTCGTAATGTGCAATTAAACATTGAATCTGAGCCAGAAACCTAGTTATTCATGTGTTGTACTGTACTTGAATCGTGTCACGCGGCAGAAGGTTCTGTGTAAGTCGTGGCCGTTGAGGTTGCACGTGACGATTATGTCGCCACATGTCCAAATGCCGAGCAAACTGTCCAGTTCCTGAACCATCACACGCATCTGCGACAAACGGCATTGTGGGATACCGGCCTCATTTTTCACCCCCGGACTACACTCGACGACTTTGGTACCCCGGGCAAGTCGAATTCATAATTACCGCTGAATTCTGGAGGTTCCAGCGAGCCATCGGCTGGTCGATGCGCCACGGGGAGATGCCCGCGACGACGCTCCCATAGATACAGACCAGCACGAAACTTTCTCCTTGTCGAAAACTTGTCGAATTCATTGAGACACCGATACAAATAAAAACACGATGACTTTCACAAACACACCGGTGACAAGACTGATGGTGCTGGGCCTCGTGTCGGCTTCGATTGGGGCGAGCTTGCTCGACATGAAGCACTATGCGTACATCCTCATCAACCCACACATAGTGCAATACGGACAGTTTTGGAGACTTTTTACGTACCAGCTGTGCTACACCAACTCGGCCGAGGTGCTGTTTGCGGCCATGTCGCTTTATAACCTACGGACCGTCGAGCGCATGTGGGGATCGAGAAAGTACGCTGTAAGTACAATGGATGTTATGCTGGAACGATTCGAGGGCGGTCGCTAATGCTGTCGGCAACAAATAGTCGTTCCTTGTCATGACGTTCCTCATTACATCGATTATCCCCCCGGCCTTCATGGGGGTGCTGCGGCCGCTGGCGCCGGGCCTGTTCAACTACGTGCCCGGGGGGTTGACGCCGGTCCTCTTTGCGGTGCTGGCGCAGTTTCACGCCATGGTGCCGCACATGTACAAGTACCGGATCGCGACGTCGGACGCGCCGCCGACGAGCGAGCCCTTTTCGGGGCTGACACTGTCGGATAAGTCGTACCAGTACGTGCTGGCGCTGCACCTGGCTCTGCTGCAGTGGCCTGGGTCGGTGGTGGGCGCGGCGGCGGGCTGGGTGGTGGGCCAGGCGTGGCGCGGCGGGCTGCTGCCGGCGGGACTGGTGACGTGGCGGCTGCCCGGGTGGATGGTCGGCGTCAAGACGCAGCGCAGCGGCGCCGAGTTTGAGCAGCTCCGGCGGCGGCTGGAGGGGGAGAATGCGGCGGCAGGCGCGTCGACGGGTGTGGATGCTGGTGGTGGTGAGCGGCAGCAGGATGTGGATAGACGGCGGACGATGGGACAGCAAATAGTTGACCAGTTCCGGGAGGCATTGTAACTGTACGAGTATGGATAGAATGGTAAAGGTAGCAGTTACTTGCGGGTAGTGTGGCCAACATGCGAGCCGAATATATGCATACAACAACTCAGAAGAGGTTACGTTTGGCGTGGACTGGTGCACATGGTTGCCAACTACGTACGAGTAGATAATTGAATACGTTGCGCAATCTCAGCAACGCCGGGGCTCAATGGCCATCCTTTTATCCTCTTTTCGGCAGTTTAAGATACCGTTGGTGGTTTCAAGGAACAAAGCAATGAAGTGTGAGACAGTGGTTGGGATGAGAGCATGACCAACCAAGTGGTGCTGGGCAGGACCTTGGGTATAGCCGGAGTCAATGTACAAATTAGGCAATACGATATGCTCTCGGATGGATGAACAGGTAGATTTTATTCGATGATCTAATTAACTATGCATGATGACGGTGGGTTGTCCTGGTTTGGTGCATTGGTTACAGGTGTTCATGACGCAGGGGCTAGCGCTGCGATGCGGCCACCTCAGCGGGCGGGCGGGCAGCTCCAGACTCCAGACTTCAGAGGAAGGCAGTGTCAAGTTATGCTCATGTTTTGTTTTCTTTTTCTATTTCTTTTTCTTTTGACATTGACAAGGTTACCCTGCTATCTCGGCAAGGGCTGAAACTCGACCGACTACCGACATGATCCCTGGAACAACTGCAGGTAGGTCCTCTACTCAGTTGGTGAGCGAGGCGAGGCGAGGGGGAAACAGAGCAGAGGAACCAGTTTGTCGAGCAAGGCGAGGATCGACCATCAAGTCACTCTTTCGTCGAGAATACATGGTGCCATGGCGCAACTCGCGTGGGGTGTGTCGGGACGGAATGTATTCTCAGGGGTCTCAGATACAAACAAGCTTGATCCACATGGAAGCGCACCAGCCCGCTGTCTCCTTTTCTCTTGCCCGCCCATCCATCAGCAAGCAAGTCGACTCAGCCTTTTGGCCAGGGGTCCTGCTGCAGCCGCTCTCTTTTTCTTGGGCTGTTGTATTCGTACCTGCTGCCGGTACTCTGCCCCTTGCAGCTTTCCCAGAAAAGGCCTCTGTCGTTTTCCCCTGCGTCTGGTTCGTGGCTCTTACTTCTGGCCCTCCATCGACATACCACACAGAAAGCAACATAGCCGCCCGATTTGGCTCCATTTGGCGCAAAGCGAGCAACGGAACAACGGGGAAAACAGACCTTCCTTTAGCTGCATATTCCCTTTTTCCTTTTGTCAATCTTGCTCGTCGCTAAATCGTCTTCTTTTTCTTGCTGCGCGACAAGCTCCTCTCGACCGAGCCACACACCAAGACCGACTTTCCCCCAACCACCTCGACCCGACGACTATTGCGACTGCGCTCCTGTCCCCGACCTGATTCGCTACGCCTTTTGCTGCTTTTCACGTTCCTTTTATTCTTATCACTTCTTGGATATACCGATACACGGCCAGCGGCCCCTCTGCTTGCTTTCGCCTTGCTCGCCTGCGACACCCAGCCGTAGCTCCGAACCCTCCCACCCCGCTGGCCTTCATGTATCGATGATTACGACCCTCTCACGCAACTAGATATACTGCTATGAACGGCGTTGCCTCGGGCAGGAGCCCCTACGACTATGGCGCCTCCAATTTGTCTCCCGGCGGCGGCGGCCCTGTGGTAGGCGGAAAGGCCGCTGTCGAGGAATTTGCCAGAAATATGCTCGTCGGCGAGGATCGAGACGCGCCGCGATACCCTCCGGTAAGTAGCTCTGGTCTGTTAGGACTGGCGGTCCGCCAGAATACCGACTAAATGCGCCGCCTTGCGTGTCATGGGCACTAACTCGACCTTGACTACCAGATCAATCGCACACCAAGCCCGGCCGTCGTCGACCTCAAGGACCCAATCCAGATTCACCTCCTCACCGAAACTGCCTTGGCAGACAGCAACAAATATGAAATTCTCCCTCAAGAAGAGGTCGACAACCTCAAGAAGCAGTCCCAGCTCATGGTGCAGCGCATCGAATCTACCAGAGCCAACCTCGCCATCCAGGCAAAGTACCGAGACGCCGCCCTGTCCATGGCCAGATTGTCACCCGATGGCTCCCAGGATCCCCAGGCCGAAGAAGACGGCCTCCAGACCCAGCGGAAATGCGAAGAACTTGCCCTCGAACTCTTCAACCTCGAAAAGAGTCTCATGGTCCCTCAACGGCGCATTCTCGAGCACACTGCCGGAATTCTCCAGCTTACTCACAAGGCTTCCAAGAAGAAGAATGCACAGCAAACCCAAGTCAACAATGGCATCCCCGGAAGCCCCGAGAGCCTATATACCTATACACATAGCCGCAATAGCCTGGACCCTGCTGGCGACGACAACTACTTTGAGGACGGCATGTATCCGCTTGACTCGGCGGCTCGCAAAAACGCAATCGAGATTCCCATGAAATCACCAAACAGAGAGCGTGGCGAGATGGACCGCGTCAAGGAGGAGAATCTCATCCTCATCAAGTCCGTCAGCGACTTTGAGGAGAAGCTTCGTGCCCTCAACGGTTCTCTGCGCGACACTATTGTACAGTTCAACCCCGACGTCAACAAGGACTACATCGAGCCGCCTCGCAACACATCGAATGCGAAGCCTTTGGAAATGCTGCGACATCAAATCGATTACCTTGAAACAGGTCTGGTTGCTGTCCAGGCCGAGCAGGAGTCCTCTCAACAAGTTACGCCAGCCGGCCCCAGCGAGAGTGAAGATGCTGTCCGACACCTGTGGAGTGTCATTCAGAAGGATTTCGCTGGTACGAGGCAGCGAAGAGAGGAGCGCCGCAGAGCGCGTGTTGACAAGGGTCTATCCGAGAATGACGAAGACGAGGGCTCCGACGATGAGTTTGGCCACTCCGAAGACTACAACCTCAAATCATTCACAAAGCGAGTCAACTACCTGTCATCACAAACGGCTACTCTCAAAGACCAGCGTACAGTCTTGAAACGCCAGATCAAACAACAACGAGAGCTCAACAACAAATCCGACGCTGAAAAAGACGAAGAACTGGCCCGTCGACAAGAAGAGGTTGAAAGCGCCCGCCAAGCCGTCGTCCGCGCGGAAAGGGACGCCATGAACGCCCAGAATCTGTTATCGGAAGCTCTACAGGACCTCGAACAGGCCCGCGCTCATGCTACTGTTGCCGGAAACGCCCAAGCAGATCTCCAGGATCGCGAAGAGACTATCGAGCTGCTGGAGAAGAAGATCAAAAAGGTCGAGGCTGAGAGCAAGCTTTCTGGGGATAGAGCTGCAGAGCTAGAAATAGCCATTGCCGACAAACGGGTTGCGGAAGAGGCCGTCAGCGCCCTTCAAGCCGACATGAAGCTCAAGGACAAGATACTCAAGAACAAGGACAACGATATAGACGAGCTCAACATGACACTTGCCGAGCTGAAAACGGAAGTCACTATCGCCCGCGCCGAGCTGGACGGAGCTTATGGGACTCGCGCCGAGCGCGCGGCCGACGTGGCAGCACTTAAGAATAATGCCGAAGTACAAAGACTCAGTAATCAGATTGAGAAGCTCAAGAAGGAGCTAGCAGGTACGGCCGAAGATCTCGAAAGTATTACGAAGGAGACTCTGGGCGCCGAGCGCGAAAAGGTGGAACTGGAGAGTAAGCTGGACGAGACTCTACAGGCTAAACAAAAAGTCGAAGCCGAGGTGGAAAAGGCGCGTGAGCAGATTGCCACGCTCCAAGAGGAGCTGGATGGTCACCGCCTCAGAGTCGGCGGCGGCAAGGGCGGCGGTGCTGGAGCTTCTATGTTGAGCGAACAGTTCCGTGCCACGATGAGGGAGGAGAGGAAGAAGTTCCAGGAGGACTTGAGGGTATGCACCAACCCACAATCGCACATTTCTAGGCTGTGCGCCTTGCTAACATGCAGTTATAGGAGGAGCGAGGCCGAGCCCGCAGGCTCGAAGAAGAACTCGCGCGCTTAAAACGGAGTCTAGGACCTGGCAAGAGTCCGTTGAGTCCGCGGTAACAACGAATAGGCTCTCCCGTGCCGTCTCCCTCACTCTTGACACCAGATTATGCCACACGGTCCCGACCATCCTCGTTTAAGCCGGACCCGTGCACCTGAGAGCAGCAACCGTTTCCCATCATTTCACGTTTTACGCTACCGGGCCTTTTCTTTTCATACACCTGTAAATAACCATGCCAAGAGCGGAAACACAGCCCCCTGTGCGACACAGACAGGTCTTGTTTGGCCGGCCTATGCAACCGCCTACGATGATTCACGGCCTCGATTAGACGGGAAAGAAGAACATTTGCCTGGCCGCTTTTTTTGGAGCTTCGCATACCAATGAGCAGCGTTTTTCTGCCAGATGCCTTTTGTTTCTCGACACATTTTTCCATTTTGCATTTCTCTTCTTTTCTTCTTGTTTGAAGAACAACCATTATTACTACCCCTTGGGAGTTGGAGCTCCATGTTTCTATGCATTGATTGGGATTTTGCAAGCTAGATGATCGCTTTTGTTTTTATTGAGTTTGATATTCGTTTTGTCTGTTTATCTTTGGTTGTGGGTTGAGGAGCTGTTTTTTGGGCATTCATGAGGAGCGAACTTTTTTTTGAAGAAAAGGAGATGGGCAAGTTCCCAACAACAAAGGAGGACGCGTTTTTTATTCAAATGGGCGAGGAAAAGGCAAAAAGAACGAACAAGCTTGGAGCAGGGGGGAAATGAACTCTTGGAAAGCTATTTACAATGGGCTGGGATTGCTCAAAGTGACAAGATTTGGGGTGTGTTGTGTTGATGCATCCTCTACTCGTCTGCTCTTTTTTGGATCTTGTTTATTTTTGGATGGAGGGAAGCAGAGAACAGACAAACTATAGAACCTTTTTCTTGCAAAGAGAAATCAAGAACTTTTTTATATGTTGAGCCCGCCTTTTCTTGATGTAGACGACTTGTTCAACGTTGAACTATCCAGTTTTATCCCTACACCCCTCTCCTTTGACTACCAGATAGACGATGACTGTTTGAAAAACAGTCGATGGCGTCACGACGGCGTGCGCGCGGCTTCACCACGCCCGTTTGTACCTCTCTTGATGATGGCGTCATGGATCCACTGCCCCTGTCCCGTCCAGAATTGGATCTAGATGGGCTCAGTCGAAATTCCTCTACTTGTCAACGTTTTTTTTTTTTTTTACAGAATTTCGTGGCATGTTGTCATTGAGTTAGCACAAACCCTGCTAAATGACACCTATCCAATCCATCAGCTCCATTTGACCCAGAAAGAAAAAGGCCGCCTGAAAAGTTGATGTATAAATAGAGTAAATCCCCCCTTCCCTGGGGGGGCTAGAATATTCTAGCTCAAGACTAAAAACATGTATAGAGTTGTTGTGGTTACTTGACAGCTTTACTTTTGAGTCGACAACGTGGAAATGGACATGTATGCTTGTAGTACTTTCAAACTTGGTACTGCCATTACGATTGTTAGCAAGAGAGAGGAGGCAATGCTCGATACAAACAATTGCGTACAGGCAAGGTTATGAGATACAAATAGCATGCAGTATTAGCAAGTGGAAATGCCAGCAACCAACGCTCACGCGGCAAACTTGCCACGATGGGCCAGTCAGGACAGAGTGCAAAGAACACAGAGACTATTACGTACAGAGTTACTATTACGTACATAGTTGACAAACGAATATGTAGAGAGTTGAAAACAAAACAAACCCGTTTTTGCGCGCGTGCTGTGAACAGCACGTGTTGGTGGTCTCTTGTTGGTGCCCGCGCGCAGCCTGATGGTGAAGACCAACACGACAAGGCATATATATATGTACACGGGCACAACTTCAACATCTATTCACACGTTTCTGCTGGGATGAAGAGCTGTACCCTCTTTTTTTTTTTTGCGCTTTGTTTTTCTCTCTTAGATTACCTCTTGATTGTACACCCTTCGTCACGTAGCAACCGAGATGCAAGTAGCCATGACAAACAAATACACAAAGAGTACAATACGTATATAATAGGACCCATGCACGAGGGCAGACCCTCATTGTGGCCACCTTTGTGCCTGGGCCAACGTTAGCTGCAGCAAGCTCAACGTTGGTGGCACGTCACATGAGAAAAGGACATGAGAAAAGCACGTGTAATGAATTAATAGATATATATATTTCGCTCATGTCTGCTTGTCCACAGCTTTGGGCTTTCAAATCTTAATGCTAAAAAACCAATGACGCCTCCGAGAGCATTTGTACCAAAACAAATCAAACAACCAATGTATCCCTTGTTCGCCCCTAACCATTCCAAACGCCAGCCCATAGAAAATCAACAGTGCTCAGAAGACAACAAAAAGCCTCGCACCAAAAACAAAAGGGGGTAGTACAGTACAAATGACCACCTCAGAATAAGTGGCGTAGCAGACGACTCGCACGCCTTGGGCGAGTGAACAAAGGTATTTCCTCCACATGAGCTTCCGTATTGAAGCTGATAGTCGACGTTTGCACGCTTCTTCTATTCGGGGCGCCGCGCCGTCGTATTATTAGTTGTAATAGTTGTAAAATGCAATGTTTCGAATAGAACCATGGATATAATAGAAAGAATGCCCTGCCGATGAGGGGGGTTGTTCCGATACCTTTACGTTTCCGAGTCCACCACCATGCTGTCCTCATCCACGTATGCCGTCTGCGCCCAGACGCGCCAGTGTAAGACACCAAGGTGTGCTAGGCGAATAGCAATGTCCTCCAGCACCGAGTCTTCGTGGTCGTGGTTGCGAGCCTGAGCCTGGGAACGGCCAGTAGTAGCAGCCGTAAAGAGACCTACCCCCGAGAGGGCGCGGTACTCGCGAACCCGAGAGCTGAGCTCCGCCATAAGGCGGATGTGGAATGACTTTTCAACCTCCTTGTAAAGGGGGGAGTCCATGCCGCGGATAATGGTGGCAAGCTTATCCTCAAAGGTGCTCAGCATGCTAGTGGGGGCCTTGGTGTAGCGGAAAATTTGCAGGGCAATCGAGGAAGACATTGACTGCCAACGAGTAGCGTGACGCAGACCGACGGGGGCGACGGACTGGAGGAGAGCCACAAGAGACCGGTAGAGCTTGCGCTTGTTCTTAGCCTCGCAGTTATCGGGAGCAACATAGGCAGGAAGGTTGAGAGATGAGCGAGCCGACGAATCTGCGGAACCAGTGGTACTAAATGTGATGCTAGAGGGTCGCGACGTCTCGAGAGGTGTGTTGAAGTTGAAATCCGAGCCGGCCGAACTAGAGCGGCGAGTTGTGTTACCGTCCAAGGTCGGGCCTGCAAAGAGGCCAGAGGCGTTGTAGCGGCCGATGCGTTCAAGATCCTCGTACATTCTCATGCAGACTTGCAGGTTGATGCAGTCGAGCATGTCGCAGCGGAGCTTGAGGATGCGCTCCTCGTCAAAGAGAAAGGTGCTGGGGAGTCGCTTTTCGGGCGACGAGGGCAGAATCAGGCGGGATAGGGCTTCAAAGAAGACACCCGTGTCGCCAAAGGTTAGGGTAGAGGTGGTGATGCCACTGGCGTGTTGCGCGGCGGCGTCCTTGTACCACTTCTTGGACGGGCCCATGTCCATCTTTTTCGACGCCATCTTCTTCAAGAAAAACTTTTGCTCAAAGTGAATCGTGTCTTCGATGAGAACGGGGCGGAGGCATCGAATCTGGTGGTTGGCGACGTCAAGCTTCATGGCCTCGAGGACACTAAGTAGGCTGCGCATGCCGCCGGCGAGTTCGTCAATATCGGAATTTTTATTGCCGTTGCTAATCTGTTTATACATGGCATCGACCCAGTCGTCACGCATAGGGGCGCAGTGGGATTTGAGGACCTGCGAGAGCCACTGAGCCAGCTTCTCCAGATCAGCGATACCTTTGTGAAACTGTTGCATAAGGAGCTCGACATTCAGACCTTCGTCGAGGAAGTGGCGATCGCGCTGGGGAACGAGAGTCTGGATGATCTCCTTGACAGCCTTGAGCAAGGTAGGTAGGGTCCAGTCGTCACTGCGACCATAGGTTGCGTAAAAAGTAGGGCGGTCGGCAACGAACATGGTCAGCTCCCTTTTTAGAGCGCGCCAAAACTGGCTTGCGCGGTCCTGCTTCTTGCGCCCCTTTTCGCCATCGAGGTTTGGTCTAAAGTGCAGCTCGGGGTCGAAGTTGATGTCGTGGCGGAGCTTGGGGTTGTGAATGATTTTGGTGACATCAAGCTCGCTGAGGGTGGTGCGGGTGACGGGAGGCTCCAAGGGATGAGCAGGGGCACTGGAACTATGATTGTGACTGCATTTTTGGCCAGGTCTGAGGGCGTTGGGGTGAGGTGTTGGTGTGCGTGAGTTGATGTCCCTCGGGGAGAGGGCTGCAGGAGGCGAGGTTGCTCTGGGAGCGGAATCACACCTGCGAGGGGATTCCTGCGAAGGCTGGGTTTGCGTCGTGGTTTTTTGCTCGTCCTGAGCAGGCTGTGTCATTTGAACATCTGCCTCAGGTACTGACTCGGTATCTGAGCTAGGGCGAGGGGCCGAGGTAGAGAGGTTGCGTCTAGACCGCTCGACAGGGCCGCCAGTGCCTTGTTCCGCCACCATTTTGACGAGTGGTAAGGGTTGCTTCTACTTTGGGCTGCCGAATTGACCGGGTCAATGTAGAAAACAGGCAGAGAGGCGAGCTGCAACAACAACCTTGTTAGCGAGGGACAGATGAAAGCCGAAGGGGCGAAAACATTCAGGTGGTGCGACGCTCGAGCGAGGTTGTGTAAGCTGCAAGGAGCATTGCAGAAATGAGGTTTCGCAACAAAACAGCATGGTAAAGCGGTTATAAAGGGGCAGGGGAACAGCGAAGGGGACACGGAAGCAAACAGCAAGTGGGAGATTGGCGTAGATGCGGCAAGGGCCAAGAAAGCCAATTCAAGCCTAGGTCCGACCCGAATGGCAATGATGATGCTGTCATGGTAGGCGGGCTTACTTTTGAGTTTGGGGGACCGTTGGTAGTAGAGTTGTCGACGTTGGGGCAAATCAAGGTTTGCGAGCGCAGACGTTGTCGTTGGGCACTGGCGAAATGCCTCGGGGTTACTGACAAGCGTCCGTCGTCGGGTATGGTTATGTATGAGGATACCGAAAGCGCGGTGATGATGGGGATAAGGAGAGCAAGTCGAGGTGCGGTGATGGGCAAGAGGCCTCGAAATCAAGCGAAGAGGTTGTCGTCGGGTTCGGCTTGTTGGTTCCGCGTGGAAGCAGTCGGACGAGGCGGACACCGGGATCGGAAGCGATGAAGAAGAGTTGGAGAGTTGGCGGATGGCGAAGTGTAGTAGTGACTGATGAAGGAAGAGTGTGGTTGGCAAGAATCGACGATATGTAGATGCGAATGGAGAGAAGACGACAAGATGAAAGCAGTCGAGTATTGTGGAAATCTAAAATGGACCAAGGGGAAGAAGAAAAGAAGAAAGAGAGGGAAGGAGTGCAAGGGAAGGGAAAAAAAGAGAAGTGCAAGGAGATCGTAGATATGGGGATGGGTAGGCTAAGAAGGGGCCCGGCATAGAGGGAAGGGAAGGGGAAATGGGGAACAGACAAGGTCTAAAAAAAAGGGCCTAAAAAGAGGACTGTAAAAAAAAAATTAAATAAGAAGTAAGAAAAGAGAGCGAGTGACTTGACTGACTCCTGTCCCGGACGCCCCTTTGGGTGGGATCGTTTTTTTTGGGGGGGGAAAACGAGTGAGAGGAGGAGGAGGAGGAGGAGGGTGAGCAACAAGCAACGAACGAAAGGGGGGGCGTGTGGACAAACGGAAAGGGGGGGTGCGGTAAGGGGGAAACGGGGGGTGGATCGGAAAGGTCCCTTTTTGGGCAGGGAAAGAGAAGGGAAGGGGGGGGGGGCTTTTCTTTCATGACACAGGCGGGCGGTACAAGCACAGCGGTACGGAGTTACAGGTGGGTTTGTATTCTGAGAGTGAGCCAAGCGCTGGTGGGTTGCAGCAGGAGGAGGGAGGTACTAACTTTTATTAGGCCAGGCGACAGGCTTCAGGCTGCTCAGCTCGGGGCAAGTGCAGGAGGAAAGGCTCGCTGCCCAAGCTGTCTGCCCGTCTTGCCATCAGCGCGGCCACGGCAGCTTGTTACAGTGCATGACTTGCGGCTTGCAGCACGCTGCCATTTACAGCGCATTACAGCATTTGCAGCTGTCCAGCATTTATTACAGCGCTGCAGCACGGCACGCTCGTCGCAAGTTACAGCGCTGCAGCACGGCACGCTCGTCGCAAGTTACAGCGCATTGCAGCCTCACCTCTGCACTGCAACTCCTCCTTCTGCAACCGAGGAATTTCAGCAGCGTGACTCGCCGTCCAATCCCCCTCGGCCCTGCCGCCGCGCCCACCACCGACCGATAGGGCTTCCTCCGTAGTTACCTTATTTATTACATTAGTAGTTACATGCTTTCAGGCCAACTTGGGTTGCATCCAGCCCACCACTTGTCTTGTCCCAGTGTCCAGTAACTAGACTTTCGAGCCATTTTGGTTCGTCTCTCCCCGCACCCCGGCCACGGCGACGACGAAACCCGGCTGCACCGGCAACTCTCCGTTTCTAGTTACCATGTCATATCTGATTATGTGACGGTTCTTGCTGAATACCTTTTTGTTCATGACTTGCTTCGAGCAAGCCCCTGGCTGCACACGCCTTCCTATGTAGCCGTGACTTCCTCGGCGGCTCGTCTTGACCAACACTTGGCGCGCGGGAAGCAACACCAACACAACAAAGAGGACGAAAGCAAGACCATTTTTCCTGCCCTTTGACCAATACAAACTTGACCTGCCTGTCATACCTTGTCCGTAAATAGTCGCAGCTCCCTCCAACAACCCTATCCAGACGTACCCTGCCCAACAGGGCAAGACGACCAACCACTAACCCGGTAGGCCACGCGCCTGCTCCACTCGCTGTACTTTGCACCCCTCCCTGTTCAGCTGGCGAGGGCACACCCAAGCAAGTCAGTGACATTCCTCCTCTCATCCCAATGCACCATCATCCATCACTTTTTTTTTTTTATCACGTCTCTTTCTTCTCCTGTCTCGCCTTCATTATTCTCTTCTTCGCTCTTTTTCTCGCCGCCACCCACTTTCATTCGCCGCACCACTTGCCGACAATCCCCCTCCCCCTCTTCCATCACCGCCCAGCTTCCCGGGCCTCAACCGCCCACCGCCCGCTCCGGATCCTCGACCGGCCGGCTACCTGCTCCTAACCCAACCCGGACTTTCTGTATGTATTGACTTTGCGTCTTGGTAGCGTTCAATCACCGCCCCTTCCACCTTACCTTGGCAGCAAAAAAAACTACCCCCCAAAAAAAGGACGGACGCCGCCGGATTCCTCAGACTCGGGACCTGCAAGTATGTACATGACTCCTCGCCCTCCGCCGAGGGGCTTGGCTATTCCCTCTCGTCTCGCCGCATCCGCCGCCGCCGCCGGCCCGCCGCATGAGGCCCTCATGATGTTCGCCCCCTCCTCGTCTTACTCGTACGGGCTGGTTCCATCTCCGGCTATTGCTGCACCGCCCACCGCCCACTGGATTGGGTTCCACGATGCCTTGTCATGCATCTGCAGTAGTGCATCTCTACCATCTGGCCTCACGGGCTGTGTAGTAAAATTGAGAGAAAAAAAGGACAAGAAAAAAAAAGGACCACTCGGTTATCGGTGCCCATCTTCATCACTGCATGTTCCTCTTCCCTTGAATTTACCTGTTGCAAGCTAGTCATCACCTACCTCCCTCTCCATTGCCTGTATTCCCAGTCAGTCAGTAACTACTTCGTAAGCCATGAAGAAAACCGCCCTCGGCCAACTGGCGCCCGACGGACAACCCGGATACTACTTCAGCAAGTAGCTCGTTATTACGAATGAATAGTACGTACCGTACGCACCCCCCATTCCCCATACAAGTTTCGGTGCGAGCCCGACGCCGTCACCGCTGCGCCCGCCACAAAACCATGACTTGCTAGTTCAGTCGGGAAACTCTCCAGGCGAGTCGGTGGCTTTCTGTGGTGCCACACAATTCCTCTTATAACTTTGGTTACCACTGGTGTCGCATCACCACTGGCCCGGCCTGAGGCGCCAGCCCTTTTGGTCGCAGCGGGCGGCGGATGCTTTGGCTCCTCTGGCACCCGTTCCGAGTGGTGTCCCCGTGATGATGATGGGCAGAGCCGGTGAGAGGAAGAGCAACAGTACTCGGTAAACTGGTACGGCGCGTCTTCCCATGTATCCATCCGGCGCAGACCGCTCGCCACTTGCATGCCACACCGTTGTGCCGCCGTCATGACATGGAAGACATGACGCCGCGATGCGCCTGTACTCGGCCGCTTGGCTGGCTTGCAGTTTTTCCGACATGCTGTCTGCATGCCGCCGTTGTTCCCCAATCGTCATGGGCTCTCCAACGGGGCTTGCCCACGCCTCGTTCGTTCTTCCAGCTGCTGCGCTCGCAACACAGAACACAAGTCCACTCACACATACCCCCCCCCCTCCCCCCCCTCCACATTCAACTGACCACCTAACACCAAGCTAGTAGACTCGGGTCGCAGCTTTTTCCCTCCCAAACTCTGCAGCCTAGTGTTGCTGTTTCGCGTACCTGAATAAGTCCACAGAGCCGAAATCCCAAAGGGGGAGGGGGGCCTAGCCGCCAAAAGGAAGATGAGAAAAAAAAAGGACCCGAAAGAGTCAGCTGGGTCTGTTCGTGATCCACGTCGTGTGGCGTGAGCCTACCACTCGAGGCCGTCACGCTTGCGCGCGTCCACGACTCAGTGCATGCCCTTTTGGCTTTTAATTACCAGTATAACTGGTGTCGGGTCCTCGGTCGCTCGTACCTATCCCCCCCATTACACCATCTGGGTTCTTGGGCACTTGTTAAGTGGTTGTCGCAAGTTGGCGGGGTTTTCAATGCCATTTGTAGGCATTTTTACCAATAACTAGTACACTTGTCGAAGCAAGGCTGCCCAAGTACTATCACAAGTAATTGGAGAAGGGCGCAGGGGCGTGTGCGAGCGCAAAGTGGTGTGGTGCGAGTGCCAGACATTACAGATCGATCTCGCCGAGGTTGGTTCGATTTGGCATTTTTTTTATTCCTATTATCCGGACTCGATTCCCCCAATATTGGCCCCGACAAATGGTCTACATAGCTTGGACCAAGCATTCGAGCTACAGCAAATACCAGTTCCAGCAACTTCATCTCGCTTCCACTCCCAAATGGCTCGCCTCGACGCCAATAACCAACCTAGAGCATATGCGGCCATCTTGTCTCTCCTTTTAGCCAGCCACGGCGTTGAATACGTCCAAGGGTCGAATGACTGCCGAGCGGCCAGTGTGTGTGTCTGTGTGTGTGCCAGCAGCCTGTTCTAGGTAAGCCGAATTGGTCTCTTTTTTTTTTCCTTTTCTGCCTTCTTCTTTGTCTGTTCACGGCTAGTCGAAAAACGCCACGGTTGGACACACGACGAGCCCATGCGACGCTTTGTGCGAGGATCAAGTTTGGTCAGCTCGTCACATCGCTTGCAGCAGGGCATCTTTTTTGCCGCTGATGCTGATGGGTGAGACGGAGCCTCGAGGCTTCGGCGGGGGGCTGGGCTTTGTGGGGAGAGAAAGAGAGGCTTGCACACACACAGACAAGAAAAGAAAAAAAAAAGAAGCGCAGTTTGCTTGCCACAACGCCCGCCCGCCGCCGTGGCCGCCGTCGTGTCCCGGTGTCTGACCAGCCCATCTCGCTACGGCAAAACGACGTCCCCTGCCCCAGAGGCGGCGGGGGGAGGGAACAGGGCGTTGGTGACGAGGAGCGATCTCTGCCCTTGTTGTTGCCTGTCATCTAATCTGTCTTTCGGCCCTTGCATTGGGCTCGTACCATCTGTTGGCGGGGGTGTCATCGAACTATACGGAACTCATCACGGAGTTATCATAACGTATTACTAGGTAGGTAAGATGGCAAGCGTAAAGAGTCGACACTTGTCCAAGAGCAGAGTTGCACTGATGCAACAACGATGCACGCACCCACACAACCGACACACTCTCTCCCACACGCGCACTCGCTCACATGCATGCGCTCTGTACGCACCTTCTCATGCACCTGCCGCTTGCCTGGCTATGAAACTAGTTAGTCGTTCCACTGCGGCCTTTCAAGACTCGTCAACATGACATTCAGTCACCTGCAAAGGAACCCGTGGCGGCGGAGGGGCGGCGCGCCAGACGACAAAAACCACCCACTCGTCGTCACCCTTTTTTTTTCGTCCTGCACGGTGACTGCGGCCAGCC